GGCTCGCGCTCGTCGTGCCCGCGTTCAGCCGCAAGGGCCAGTTCAAGAACTTCGGCGACGACGAGTGGCGGCGGCGGCTCTCGGCGCCGGGCTTCGTGCCCGCGACCTTCGCGGAGCTCGTGGGCTGCGTCGCGGCCGTCGACTGCGTCGTCTTCGACTTTACGTGGAACCGCGACGCGCACGCGACGACGGACTCGGGCTCCTGGCTCGCGGAGAGCGCGCACGCCGCCCTCGGCGCCGCCGGCGACGGCGCCAAGACGCTGCGCGCCGCGGCGTCGGCGCCGCCGGGCAAGGACGCGCCGAAGCCGTCCGCGCCCTACGCGGCGCCCGCGCCGCGCGCCGTCGCGTGCTTCAAGAGCAGCCGCTACGAGCCCTACGTCGTCGTCCGCAACGACCCGGCGCTCGTGCCGGCCTACGACGCCAACTTCACGGGCTACGGCAAGAACAAGATCGAGCACGTGCGCCACCTGCGCCACGACGGCTTCGCCTTCGCCGTGCTGCCCCTCGGCTTCCTCGTCCACGCGCCCCACCCCTGGTCCAAGTCGAAGCGCGGCTGGATGAAGAAGGGCCGGGGCAAGCACACGACGGACAAGCTCTTCAAGGAGGCCGACTCCAAGTACGACGAGGCGTCGCTGCGGGACGGCGCGACGCCGCTGTGCCCCGGCGCGAAGACCTAGCGCGCGCGCGGTAACAATTCGAAGATGGGAGAGCTCGCGCCCACGCCGCTCACCGAATGCGCGCGCTACGAGGGGATCTACGCCGCGAGGCGGCGCGGCGCGCGAACGTCCCCCCGGGGTAGGCTTCATCGTATATGTTTACGTGCTCGATCCCCTTCAACTTTATTTTCCGGAAATGCGGGCTGCCGCTCCAGGCATGCCGGGTTTGCCGGGCCCGCTCGCGATGTGCAGCCCGCAAAAGGCAAACCACAACCACGCAACCAACAATCTAAAGCAACCCACAAAAAACAAACAACCATGCTGCGGTCGATCTTCACAGCGTCGCTCGGAGGTCAGGACCCCGCCGCCGGGTCCCCGGTCCATTAGGCGACGCGCCCCGCCTACGCGCGTAATGTCTGGCTTAGCTAGCGGGGCTCGCCGCAGAGCGCGCCGTCGATGACCGGGTAGGCCCGCAGGGGCCGCCGGACGAAGCGGTGCCAGATCTGGCGCCGGTAGGGCCGGCCGGGCGCCGCGGCGCCGTGCCACTTGTCGCTCCGGAGCGCCGCCGCGTAGGACCAGCCGTGCTCGTCGCCGTCCGGGTCCGGCGCGACGTGCCAGTCCTCGGTCACGTCCTGCTCCGGCTCGTCGGCCTTCTTGAAGGAGCCGTAGGCGAGGTCGAGGCTCGCGGGCCGGGGCACGTGGGCCTTGGGGTCGTCCGCGTCCAGGGGCACGGCGCAGCCCAGGCGGATCCAGCCGCCGTCGACGCGCGCGACGCCCGCGGGGCCCGGGCTGTCCGCGCGCTCGATCTCGAGGCCCGGCGCCGTCGCCTCGGGCGGCACCTCCTGGATCGTCTCGTCCTCGAACTCGGGCCCGAGGTAGTCGCCGCAGAGCATCGCGCCGCCCGTCATGGTCTCTCCGTCGTCCGCGCTGCAGAACGCGTCGTCCGCGCCGCCCTCGCAGGCCAGGCCCCCCGCCGTGCAAAAAAAGGCGGACCACGTGTGCGCCGCGGGGTCGTCCTTCCGCCGCTCGTAGACGAGGACGGCGTCGCGCCGCAGCGTCGCCTCGGCCTTCTCGAAGTCCGCGCGCGACGCGATCCGCGGGTCGCCCAGGAGTAGGACGCGGCCCGTGGCGTCGTGCTCGTCGTCGTAGAGCGGCACCTCCAGGACCGACTCGCCGTCCTCGCCGATGTCCCCGCCGCCAAAGTCCTCGGCGCTCACGAGCGCCGCGGCCTCGAGCGTGAAGTCGCGGTCCTGGCGGCCCGACGCGCGGTGCAGGCCGAAGAGGAGGCTCGCGCCCGGCGGCAGCGGCAGGGCGAAGTCGTAGGGCGACGCCGCGGCCGCGAGGTCCCGGGCGACGACGGTGCGCGTCTCCTCGTAGAAGGCGACGCCGCCGGCGGCGAGCACGCGCGCG